TTCATGATTGACATTTTGTAACATATACAAACGTTTTCCATTAACCCACTAGTGGCACACTTTTTTTTTCTTATAAAACTTTCTAGTTCTTTTTTGTTTTTTCATCATGCATCTATCATTGATGTGGTCTTATGCTCGAAAGCTTAAAGGCAAAAACACGCCTTTAATCTCTTATTTCTCTTTAGTGAGCTAAAGAAAGACTATTGATGAAGAACCATCCCTATTTTTCTCTCTTAGTCATTTTTTTCTTACTACTCTCCGCTTTCTTTCTTTGCTTCTTGTATTTGACACAAGAAAATAGAATTCACCCGATCATCATCATAATCATCATCATCATCATCAACAACAACAACAACAACAACAACAACAGTAACATCAAGTATAGAAACAAAAGAAATACGGCAAAATAAGAAAGAACGACAATAAGAAAGAAGCAATGTTCAAAATCGTTCTCTTCCTTCTTATCTTGTTCTTTGTCTTCCTTTTATTTTCTTTTCTACGTATCTCGATATGGCTCTAACATTGAGTAAAAGCACAAAAAAAAAAGAAAAAACGAAGAAAAGAAGAAAGAAAGAAAGATAGAGATTGGCACTCAACGAGTACTCAGAAAATTTCTATAACAGTATTTAGACAATTTCTCGTTTTTTTTCTTCTATATGCTGCCCATCAAAAGTGAAGAATACAGACAAAATAGAATATGAAGTAATATTACTATTGTTGCCACTTGTGATTTCTTGCAGAGCACGAGTGATGAAAATAACAAAGAAGCACAGATCTTCCTCTATTTTATTCGTGATCATGTTTTATTTTCTATTTATTCATTTAAGTTTGGTACTACTTCAGAGAAGATTCTAAATAACATTTTTTTTGCAATGACTGCCTATCGTTCTCTGTCTCTCTCTCTGTTTCTCTCTGTCTCTCTTTTTTTCTTTAGTTATATACACGTCTTGACATTTCATTCCAGAAGCAAAAACCAAAAGTTGTGTTGTCATCATTCAAATACTGACATATCGTATTATACATCTCGACCATTCGCTAAGAAAAATAAGGAAAAAAATTCTTTCTTGTTTAGTTATAGAATCACATTTGATGTCTATCTATGCAACAAATGTCAATATGCTAATGATATATTGAGTAGACATGGGTAGTGAACTTCTTATTGATCATTGAACGTACGAATTCATTATTTTAATAGGATTTTAAAAAGTTAGTACAACACTATTGACAAATCTCATGAGATATGGCGGTCTTTTTAAACATGCCGGGATATTAAAAAAAAAGAAAACATCTTCATCTATATAGTGTAAACGCGTTTATGCAAATGAAATATGGTTCAGCGTTCTGATCCTTATATTTCGAGAAGAATAAAAAAGCAGAATTAGATTAATAACAAAGGATTTGTTCTTGTCGTTGTTGTTTTTTTATTGTTATTCACAAAAACAGAGACAAAACACTCAAGAGTATGTCAAAGTTAAATAAGAAAAGAAAATGGTCATTGATTCAATACTACTTCGATTCAATCTACTTCTTTACTCACTTATTAATAAAAACCATTTGTTTCTTCTCGTAGATATATTTTCTATCAAAAGATTATACTGTACTCATGAGAATATTCAAGATATATTTTCATATAAAAGTCGATTGTAGATATGATTCGGATAAAAAGGCAATCGAACTCTATCACGTATGTTTCTTCTTGCTATTTATTAGTACAGGTCAAATTTATCAGAGATTCTGACAACCGATAAAAACGATTGATCTTCTATGGACTTTGTATTTGTTCTTGATATAAATGTCACTGTTTTTGTTCATCGACGAAACGACCTAGTCGATCTTATTATTGGACATGGAAAGGAATTTTTTTTTCTATATAAATCGAAGGACTTACTAACAACCGTTGTTTTTTTGTGCATCTTGCCGATGATAAAAGTTTGGGTGTCTGTCTTGTGTTTTCTCTTCATTCAATGAGGCATGAGAAAGGACACATTTCTTTATCGATGCCCGCCAACATAGAATGTTACAGGAAAAGCTCTTTGGCCAAAATCAATTTGATGATGACATTCGATGGGATGGGGTGGAAAAAAAAGAGAATATGCTTCTTGTTTTTTATAAGTAATTGTCCAATATGTAAAAGAATAGAAGAAAGAGAAGAATGAAGATTTGATCAGTTCCTCTTATTTTGTCTTAATCTTTTCTAATAATAGTCTCAATGATACTTTTGTGACTAATGATGCATCGATTTATTGACAATTATGTGAGGAAAAATATCGACGCATTAATGTACTGAAAAAAATTGACTATTTGTAGATTTTTCAATGGCGAACACTTGCACGATAATTCAAACGAGTGTATTGTGTGCTGATCAAATTTTTCCATGCATCAATGTCTCGCGACTATGGAACAAAGAATTTTTTTCGTTGTCGAATAATATATGAGTCATACCATGCTTCTTTTAACCTATTCATTGTACTATTCATTCGAATAATTAAAAATGTTTGTTTAAAAAAAAAACTCATTTATGTAAAAATCAAAAGAATTAATATGTGTTTTTTTTTCTTCGTTTCAGCATCAATATTTTCACTTGATGACGTATTTTTCTTATGTTTTTTTTTCCCCCATGAACTCAAGTATTAAATCGACATGAAAGTATGTCCTAATAATAAATAAATCCTTTTTACACATTCATTGACCTAGAATTATCCAACAGGAAAAACTTGTTTGATTCACTTTTTTAAATGTATATATTTTCGTTAATTATACAAAATTGTTATAATTAAGTATGAACTTTTTACGTTAATCTATCTTTATTTAGAATAAATAATTAGTTCGATAAATGAAAAAATCTCTCAAATCTTATTCTGATTCTATAATGTTAGTATGATTAACTTGAAGACTTCTAAGTTATATTCAGCTGTCTTCTATATCATTGTTTAGTGCAATGACAAAGATAAACAAACAATTGGTACACCATATGGATAAATGTTTTTTTTAGATAGAGAATACTATTGCCAACAAGAAAATAAACTCAACTGTATGTTAAAATTTATGTCAGTTTTTAAGTTCATTTTTTATGATCAAAAGACAAACTAACTTTTTGTAAAATATATGAATAATAAAACTTTCATAAGTTTTGAGTTATTTTTCACTTATTAATTCTCTTTCGTCATTCATGGTTATCAAATAAATATTTGTCAAGATTCTATTCTTCTATCAACAATAATTTATCGAACATTATCTATTCAGGTGTTTTAACAAGTATAATATTTGAGTCTTTTTTTTTTCATAAGTTGTTCATTGAATTCTTATATAAATTCGATTTTTATTTAATTTTCAACATATGAAACGATTAAATTCGTAGGCTAAATATTGTGATGTGTGACAGTATGTAAAATAATTGTGTTCGAGTATTTTATTAAGATTAGAAAAAAGAAACAGGTTTATCAAAGAAAGGAAAGAATAAAATGTGAAGCAATGATAAGTCATAACAAATTTATTTCTACTTTTATATTTGTTTTGAAATAATTAATAAAATGTATAGAGAAATGAAAAAATTTCGATACATGTAAAAAATATCAAATAATTGCATATTACTTGACAAAATCAATTAATTTATTTAAGAAGCTAAAAATATTTTTTCTGTTTTATGATTAGTATTCTCTAGCGAATAACTAAGTCACAAAGATAACATTAATAGGTCATTATCAACTTTTTTACTATAATTTTGTGTTTGAAGTCCTGACATTTGATCGTAGAAATGTACCCGATTATATTAAAATATTCAAATTTATAATTATCAAAATAAATCTGACGATAATAAATTCCTTAACAAATACTATTCAAAAAAGTCAATATTCAGTGCAGATATTTGACTAAACAGATACAATTTAATTAGATCAGAAATAAAAGTTATGTATGTCAAACAAGAAATATTCGTTTTCCAAAAGATAAACATTATAAAAATGACAGATTTTCAAAAGAATAAAACTGTTTTTGTTTTAACTTAAGAACAAGAAAAAATATGCAATTCTGAATGATAATGAATTCGTAAAATATGCATATACTCACGATAAGCAATAGAACAAACTTCCTACACAATAAAAATGTTATTTAATCATGCTACTCTCAACCAGATTTGTCAGTCTATGAAGTAAAGACATCATACAATAATCTTCTACTTCTTCTGTCACAAATCATATTAATGAAATTCATTCAATTTGATGCAAATGTATTTTATCTAATTAGTTCCTTTTTTTCCTCGAAAGATGTTTGATAAAAATACTTTATTTACATCAATATTTACTTAATCGTTGGTTATTTTCATTCATAAAATGTCTCAGTTTTTTTTTGTTCGTTTAATCTGTGAAAATAAAAATTAATTATCATCAATAAAAATACAATAAGCCAACAGAATATTTTCTTCAATAATAATAACATATGAACTTCAACTTGAACATTTACAAGTTAATAGTATAGAGACAAAAAAAAAACAACGTGGAAAAATTCAATAGCAAGTTTTATGTTTACATCGATCTTATTTTATGAAATACATAGTTAGTCTTTACTTTTCTACTAAAAAACAAGAATTCAAATTTCTAAGAATTTCTTGTTTATCATAGAAAAGATGTCGCTGAAAAATTTCAAGTACTTCACTTTTACTCCAGACAGTATTGAAAAAAGGTACAAGTTGAAATAAACAATAGCAAAATGTTAATTCATCAAGATGTCATTTTTTCCAACTCATACTGATTTTAAAGTAATTTCATAACTGTTCTTTCCAAAATAGAAAGCTTTAAAAACAATCATCATACTTGGAGAATACTTGATTTACTTTCATTGCTTTTTCTTCTTTTTCTACATCCTAGGAAGTAAGCAAATGATGCATTCTTATGAAAATTATAAAACTATAAATTTTATTGTTGGTCACAGTAAAAAAACAACAATTGAAGAAGTATCCATATTCTCTCTTTTTTTTTATTCTATTATTCATTTACTAATCAGCCATGGCTATGTTTCAAAGTACTAATTATGATGTTAAAGCATTCGGCAGAAATGTTACCATACCAAATGCTGATATTGCTAAAGTAATGTATTATATTGATTGTGTATGTACAATGATTGAGTATAATGACCGTGACATTCAAAGATATCGAAATTTTTCAAATTGGGCAAATATGTCAGACGAAGAAGATCGCCTTATCTTCATTCTAGCTTTGGCATTATCACCTGATGAATTGGAAGATAAAGTCTTCTTTAATAGTCCTCAACTTTGTCCTAATTCTAACAATCAATTTTATGAAATTGGACAAATAAAAAACCAATTGCTCGTTGTGCAATCAGTGTTTATTGGTGGTCAACAAAGACATGTTAAAAAAATAATGGCTTATAAACAAGCGTGGATGCAAAATTTTTACTATGAGCCAATGCGAAATCTTGCTTTTCGATTCAGTCCACAAGGACAACGTCAAGAAGCGGCAAGACGGGCAATGATATCTCAAGCTTGTATCATTTCATAAAATTAACCAACAACAAATAAAATCTATTCGCCGGTGCAACATAATATTGTAAACAATACAACTGCTTTTGGTCAATGTCGAGTTTGATTTTTTTTTTCTTTTTTGAATACTTTAATTCATGCTTTACTAATAAAAAGAGTCGAGTTGCTTTACAAAAACGAAATGGTCGTATACGTAATTCAATGTTTCTTTACCTTAATATTTTAATTAAAAAAGAAGTGATCAAAGTTTGTGATAAATTTTATCAGATTTGAAATTATTAGAACATTTTTCATGGATTTTCCAGAATAGATATGATTTATGATTAACCATCACAAATAATAAAAGATAGACAACAGTAACGAGAATGGTATAAAATAAACATGACCCAATAACGAAGATTATGTTCTCTAATTTTTCATGACATTTCTACAACAACGCCTACAGACGCCAACAAAATACAACCGTAGGCGCTAGGTCATTGAACACTAACGATTCGAGTCGTTTTTTTTCCTGTGCTCATTTGATTTTGACAAATTCATGACATACTATGTCACTATGGGTAATCGCTTGTCATATGATATCGCGAGTATAAAAATACATTCTATTCTTATTCGTTCATTCAAATAAGATTATTTCTATTCAATTAATTTAATTGACTTTTATTAACTTACTAATTAAAGCAATAAATATTTTGTAATATAGTTCGCATCAAAAGTCTCGCACCATTTTTGTTCCTCAGTGGATGTATTAAGAGTCAATAGCTTAAATTGAATACGATTATATATCAATATAGCAGAACATACTCGGAGCTGGACCAGCTAATTTTTGCTGTTTTTTTTTATTGATTTTTCTGGGGCACTAAAGCTTGCCTTAATTTGCTCGTTCTTAAAGGATTTCCATGGTTTTAATGATCAAAAGATATAAATCTGAAAGTTTATCACTGACAAATTTTCAATCTTTGTCAAAATCCTAGCTCTAAATATTGAACTAACATCTTGTCGTACTATGATAGGTTTGAATCATGTTGAATGAATTTATTAAGTTCACGAAAAGTTATTTAGATATTAGAAGTTAATGTTGGGTTGAGACCAAAGGTTCTTCACGTCGACATATTGAGTGTACCTGTTTGGACTATTTTTAATTGACTCTCATAAAATATTAATAGCTAGCATTTTTCAGTTCATACTTTCATCGCAAAACATCAGAAAAACTCTGTTCTGTTGTCAAGATGTTGTCATATACTAGCATCATGAAACTATGAAAGTATTTAGATATTAAGAAATCTTACAATAGAAAACCTAATATAAAAATTGTGAATTCTATTTCGTCCTATCATTCTGTCAGAAATAATATCCTTTTACACATTGAGATTCTTTTCAAATGTGTTAAATAATTATTTCAAATAAGAATAGGCCAAACTTATCAATTGTAAAGAAATCATATCATTATCGGGAAAAGTTAACCAAAGTATAGTATAGAATGTTAGTTGCTGTGAGTTATGAGACAAAAGTTTGTGAAAGAAATATTCGTTTGTTTTTTATGTTAGCACATATGAAACGTAACAGATTAAAATAAGAGTTGCTACTATTAGAAACTCAGAGAGTTATATGAGTTTTACATTGTATGCTGTCGTAGAACTAAAGTAGTAGACTGTTTCTCGATAGAACTAATTACTTAGTTTATATATTAAACTCACTGATTTCTTATTGACTAAATCAACCATTTCAACCGACTGGTCTGATCAAGTCGAAAAAAATTCGAACGGTTTCAAGTATGTGACAGAGACTGAGTATTAGATATTTTAGCATCCAAACTGATATTCCATAAAGTCTTGGATCTAAGATTGGACGCGTTCAATGCCAGATTGAAAAGGAAATTTATGTTAAAATGTGAAGTAGTCTTTCAATCGATGTTATGGAGTGGCACTTTATCTTTACTTTACTGGATAAACTATTTAGGTTTATCTTATTTGGTAAAATAATATTGAAAAACGTCGACTTTTTTAAAAATCTATATATGAAGAATATTGTTTTCTAACTTTACTCTTTTTAAAAGTAAAAGTACATGACATGATAAGTTCCTATTTGTAAGAAATTCAAATGAAATGACTATGAGAAAAATATCATGGAAATATAATTCAGTGCTTTGAGAAATAAACGAAGGAAATTAATTTTAATATAAATAGTATATGAAAATGAAGTGTATATCGATGAGGGCCGGGTTGTGTCAGGAAACTCATTTTAATATAAAAATTATACAGAAATAAAGTGCGCAATTATGCAAATGAGAAAAAAAGGATAAAATTGATATAAGGATTTGAAAGAGAATCTTAGTTTTGATGCGAGACTTGTCTTCGTACCAGACATCCCACTTTCACATTCTCAACTCCACCCGTATCCTTCCTAATGCAAACAATAGCTAAAGATATATAATTCATTTCATTTCTATATACTTTTAATATTAAAATGAATTTTCTAACACAACCCTAAAAATAAACACTTCATTTCTGTATAATTATCATATTAGAATGATTCTCTTCACCAAACCCAACGGCAGACTATGAGTTGTATTCCTTCAATTGAGTGTGTAAAAAGCAATGTCAGCTATACGTCATTGACATTTAGTCTGAATTCCTGCAGCAGTGTTCGTTAGTTTGTATCATTTATTGGATAATAATGTGAAAAAATTTGAATTTCCTGCAAAATAAGATTTAACTTTAATTGAAGGCTAGTTACTAAGAAGCGAGAAAGTTCGTGGATGTATTTAATTGAAGTCTAGTTGGTCTTAGCAAGCGTCAAACAAAAAAAGAATAAAAACTTGTAGCTTATGTTCTTTTAGTATCATTTTGTGAAACACGATCTGAAACGAGTGTTGAAGTGTTTAGGGGTAGAAATTTGGACAACCCCCCCCCCCCCCCCCCCCCCCCCCGCCCCGACTAGCCCCCGGCCCCCCCCCACCACCCGCGCCGC